GCGGCTGGAGTGCTGCCGGTAGGTCCCGTAGCGCTGCCCCTCGGCGCTGCGGGACCAACCCTACAGCACCCCAGCTGTCCCAGATTCAGCCACCACTGAAACTGATCAGAGGCTGACTCCGGGAAGCCCAGGGCAGAGCAGCTCTGCCTCAGGCTTCCCGGGGTCAGCCGCTGGTCAGTTTCAGCAGCGGCTGAATCGGGGATGCCTGGGGGAGAGCCGGACTATTGGGGGGCTATTAGGGGCCTGGGGGGGGATCCCCCCCCAGGCCCCTAATAGCCCCCCAATAGTCCGGCTCTCCCCCAGGCATCCCCGATTCAGCCGCTGGTCAGTTTCAGCAGCGGCTGAATCGGGGATGCCTGGGGGAGAGCCGGACTATTGGGGGGCTATTAGGGGCCTGGGGTGGCATCCCCCCCCCACCACCCTAGACCCTTCATAGCCCCCCCTTCCAATAGTCCGGCATATTTTATAATCCGGCACCCCCTGGGTCCTAAAGGTGCCGGATTATCGGAAGTTTACTGTATGTAACTGATGACATGACATACCCCATCTTATCAAAACATTTAAAGTATTCCTCCTTCATTCCAAATAAAGGCATATGGACTCTAACACAGAATTCAGATCCAGATTTGGAATAGTTCAAAATGCAGCATGTTGCCTGATCTAAAATTATTTATGAATTTCCAATTCTCACCATTAGGATTGACAGGTCCTTTGTCCCAGGGTCACTTGCAGTATTTAATTATTCTATGGTTGGGAACCCTGATGAGCACAGTTGCAACACTCACACTGTAGGAACTCTTATACATTTACAAATATAGTTGATAATACATTTAGCATAGTCACAAACAGCTCAGTTTCATAAGATAAATAGGGAATGTACAGCTATATTTCCATACTATGTTCTCATACCGTTCCTTCTAGAACAACCCGAGGTGCTAGCCGTCATCTTCCTCATCACCTTCACCTTTCCCATCATCCCCTCCCAAGGACTACATCCCCTTCTCCTACTGCCACTTTACAATATGTTCTGCTGATGTAGCTATGTTAGAGCTGCCTTTGCTGTCCCTCCAGGAGGTAAGCAAGGTATTGAAGTGCTTGTTTGGAGTGCTCAGCTTCCTGGGACAGCACAGCAGGTTTTTTCTCATCACCTTCACCTTTCCCATCATCCCCTGTGGGCTTATACCTATTAGATTTGTATTTTAGAATAATGAAAATAATAATTCCTGATTTATAATCTATTTTTAATTCAACATTTACACCAGAGGTTTAAACAAATTTATTACCCTTTAAATTAATTATGGAATAGTTTGTTTTGCTTTATTTATATTCTTATTAATTTTATTAGGGTTTTTATGAGCTAACAATTATATATTGCTTTGTTTTCCACCAAAGTCAGATATTTTGGAATAAAACAGAAATTTGGATATGTGACAGGACACTTCAAGGTACACATTTCAAAAAAGCCCTGATCGCGAAAATGACGATCGGGGCTTTTTTGCGGAAAAACGCGTCTACATTGGCACGGACGCTTTTCCGGAAAAAGTGCTTTTCCGGAAAAGCATCATGCCAATGTAGATGCGCTTTTTCCGGAAATACTTATAACGGAAAACTGTTCCGTTTTAAGCATTTCCGGAAAAGGGTGCCATTGTAGACGTAGCCATTCAGTAGGGGATGTTTCCCTTTCTCCTTATTTGTATTTTCTCACCTTACTGGTGGTGAAGTGTCTTTTTCCTATAGGTCATTATATCATTGATCTCAGCTTATTATCATATGCATCAATTCATTACCATGGGCCTTTTGTGGTTGTCTATCACATTTGTTATTTCCATCCTACCTGGTTATTTGGTCTGGTCTGATTATTTTGTGTTTTCTAACTAATGATGTACCTGCTAAGTTTGAGGGTATTCTTGGAAGTCCCTATGTCTTTGAAGATTTCTTTATTTGGGTGAAAGGTCCCAAATGTATGCACATTGATTTTGCTTTCTGGGTGAAAGGTCCCAGGCGTGTGCTGCATGGTAGTTTTGCCTTGGCTCAACATGCAGGATGGTTAAGGATCATTTTAGTCCTGAAATCTATATGGGTGTATCTAGACTATGCCGAATGGTCGAAAGAGGATATGCAAATTCTGTGGGAATTTACATATCTTCTTCCAATCGCAATTTCGAAAGCAGAGCTTTCGAAAGTGAAAGTAATTTTTCTCTCTTCCTTAAAAAGGAGGTTTACACGGCTTTTCGACAAAGGGGGGGCGTTCGCCAAAAAAGCCGTGTCTTAATGACTTTCACTTTTGAAATTTCCACTTTCGAAAGTGTGATCAGAAGAAGATATGCAAATTCCCACGGAATTTGCATATCTTCTTTCAAGCATTCGGCATAGTCTAGATAAACCCTATGAGAGAAAAACACACTATATAGCTGAGTATTGTAGGCCAGTGAGCCATCTTACCTCTATTATATTCACTGTATATCAAGCTACAGATTTACTATATATTTGCGAAAGTGTGTCTGTCTGTCCATGTGTTCATCCATCTGTGAGTTGAAGAACTCCTTCTAAATGGTAAGAGCTAGGACTACCAAATTCATGATATGGCTTCCTCTTACTATAACTTAAAGCAAGGTCAGGGGTTAGTTGTACCAGGAAAATGGGATGTTCCTGGAATGGGATTGTTTCTCCTAAAACCATACTGAAAAGAGACAGAATCACCAGGTAAGTGAAAGAGGCTGACTGAGAGTGCACCACTCCCATCTGGGAATGCCCCGGGCCTGAGCCGCCAACCCCGCCCCCCCCACCAACCCCAGGGGCCCTTTAGAGAGAGCAGGAGGGCTGAAGCTCCCCCTTTGTTCATACAGGCACAATGCTGGTTGTTCCCCTTTGTCAGGGGCTGTGAACAGTTTGCTGCATTCCTGACTCTGGCTGGGGAGCACAGAAGGCAGACAAACCTGAAGCTGCCCCAATTGAGGGACATGCACCTATCCCTCAGCTGTGTCTGCTAGAGCTGCAGTAACCATGGAAAGGCCCTTCCCAGCTGGCCCCAAGCTGTTGTGGTGAGAGAGGGCTGGGGTTGTCCTCTGTCCCCGGGGTAGCCCAGCATCTCCCGCCCCACCCCAGAGTAATGATTTCAAAGAAGCATGTACATTTTCATTTTATTTTATTTTCCCAGAAAACATACATTAATTGAATTAAGGACCCGAGCAGTGCTGAGTAAATCTTCTAGTTATGATATAAAATGAAAAAAGATATTTCTCTCTTCCTGTAAGAATAATTAAAATAAGATGTCTTGCAGCTTCTCCATTTGATTTATCCCTCCTTTCCAACTCATGAAAATGTAATGCAAGAGATCACCCATCAGACATTCATTCTTTGTGTTTACACAGGCCCACGCCATATCTCCCTCATCAGTGTAACTATTTACCTCAAAGACGTAGTTCATTCTTGGGGTTCCACTTTTATTCATAAACTCTCCTGAAGCAGCCACCCTGTATAGGCCACCACAGCAGCTGCTATTACCGTCTACATCATGGGCTCCTTCCTCCCCCTCCCCCAATCAATCCCCTTGCTATTTTTGTTTTTCGGCCTGGTCAGGTTTTTTTTTTGCTCAACAAGTTTTGTTGCGGGGTGGTGGTGGTGAGAGTTTCTCAAAAATCAAAAAGAGGGCGTGATACTGAAAAGTTTGGGAACTACTGCTCTACATTGTCTCTGCCATGCATTTTAGGCTTTGTGTATTTCGCCCCCTCTCTGGACAGGAAAATAGGACCTCTGCATGTGCTTAACCTCACATTTTTGCTGGATACTAATATTGCTGCTCTTAATTGACTGTACTTTTGTAGGAGAGTGTGTCCCAGATGTGTTTGCTCTAAAATGAAAGAGTATCAGTGTTGGGCTTGAATATCTGTAATCTAATTACCAAAATGCCATTGCATATTATTTGAAAGTTTCTTTCACTTAGGTATGACATTTCTAAATGACACTGGTAATCCTGGCTTTTCCCCCCTTGTTTTTACAGGTGACCTGTAACTGCTTCACCATCAGTAATGGAGAAATGCAGGATGTTGGTGTTGGCCTGTATCCCAGGTACTGTGGACACTGTTTCATTCACAGGCAAAAACTCTGTGTGTGGCTTTTTATTATTTTTTTTTAATTTCTAGCTAGCTAGAAATCATTGAAATAGTAGGTACCATAGCTAAATAAAAAATTAAGAAATGCAAATAAATTACAACAACACAAAAACACGATTGAGTTTAAAATATTTTTAATCTCCGGCTTGCAGAGTTGTACCATAATTTAGACAGGACAGCTCTTTATATCTGAATTCTTGTTCTCACGGAGACACTAACCCTTTTCCTGGCATGGGAGACGATAAGTGGTGCCACTAAAACACGATACTTGGGTTTCTTAAGAAAGTAGCAAGATGCTTTGGTTCAACCTTTCCTTGAAAAAATAGTGTGTTTGCAGCCCCTTGCCTTCCTTTTTGTCTCATTGAAAAGGAAAGTAGAATTTTAGATATGAAAATTAGAAATTAAAATTATCCACACCCCCTCATTCGCAACATCCTCCAGAAAATTAAGGCTGTGGGAAGAGAGGTGTTTTAAAGGCTGTGGGAAAATAAGTGTTTTAAATAATTAGTGATCACATGGGTTCTGGTACTAGATGTGTCAGCTTCTTTCCTGGAGAGATCTTATTCCATTTCCCCTGGTGCCCATACCTTCTCCCTGTGTCCAAGATTCCTTGATAATGTCCATCTGAAGGCCAAGTAGTCAAAGGTGGACATTAGCAGAGAGGTGGCTAAGTGATAGACACCCACAATTAGCAATCAAAAAGTAAGTTATCCATAATACGCAGTATAACGACCACCCTTTCTACAGGGACTGAACTACAAGCTTTCTGAATCTAAAATCATGAGCTTGAGCTAATGGATCAGAACCACTAGTGCAAAGGCATAAACTCTATACGCAGTCTACTAGAAGGGGACAGAGAACTACATTTTGTATTTACACAAAAGTGCTGGGTTGCATATACTTGTTTGCATAGTACGGGGACAAGGGATGTGAGCCAAAATCCTATTCCACCTTAATAATATTGGAAATCTTTTCTGAGGGATTCTGTAGACCATCAGCATGATAGTGCAAGCGTCTGCCCTGGGTGCTATGCAATTGAGGGCTGTTTGATATAGTCACACCCAGTCCTAAGGCATTGTCACCCAGGAATGCAAAACATAGAGACACATTACTATAGACTAGCTCCACCAGTAGCGGAGTCTCAGGTGAGAAGAATTCAGTAAGGCTCTCCACAGAGTTTCCTCCCAGGTTGTTTCATCGGAATGCATATGTGTGTGTGCACGTGCGTACTCTCCTCTCCCACATCCCCATGGAATAGGCTGCAATGCCACCCCACAAGTCCTATGGACCCTCTTGAGGACAGTGTGTCCAAATGGAGGTGGTGAATCCCTGATGCCTTTAATACCACCTGCAGAACTATAATACAGTTCCAGGATATATTCCATTTCTACCCTGAATTCTTTATGGTGGGGGAGCAATGGGAGTCTTCAGCCTACATACCCTGCCCTGGCACACCCCCTCGCATTACCCTCACACAGAGCTCTCACAGGGAGGCAGCTAAGCCTGACCTTTCCATGCAGAACAGTGTGAAGGAGGAATGAGCATCAGGTCAAGAGAAACGATCAAGATGCGACTCCTATTATTAATGCATATAAATCTTCTAACCCTTCATCTTATTCACCTAACCAATCATAGTTGATTACCTGGGTTTTTCCTTGTTTGATAACCTGATTGCCTGGTGCATTGGATGTAACTCAGTCAGTTTATGCTAAATAATTCAGATGTTACTGACAGTGGAATATCCTTCCCTCTAATGTTTTCTGTTCTTCCTCCCACCCCCAGCATGTCGCTCATAAACCACAGCTGTGACCCAAACTGCGTGATTGTTTTTGAGGGACGCCAGCTTCTACTTCGTTCAGTCCGGGAGATCCAGACTGGTGAAGAGGTAATTAAGTTGTCCTCCCTTCCATTGCTACCACCTGCAGCAATGGCATCTCCCTAAATAAATGACAGTCTGCAGGGCCACCAGTTTAATATTTTGATGATATATTGATATTAATTTCTATCACATAGCTATCAGGGAGAAGATGATAAATAGAATCATCTCTTCACACTGGTTCGGCCCCATAATCATGATGTCTCATAAATCACAGGCAGCCTTTACAAATTCTTGTTCCTCCATGCCTCCTTCAGGCACTTAATTTAGTTTATATTTGAACATACCTGGATAGAAACGCATTATATTTCTGGGCCAATTGCAGCACTCACTAAGTCATTACAACAGTAGTAAGAGTTTGTTAGGCTATCACCACACTGTAGCCTAAACCTCCCTTGCTGCAGTTTAAGCCCATTGCTTCTTGTTCTATCCTCAGAGGCCAGGAAGAACAATTTTTCTCCCTCCTCCTTGTGACACCCTTTTAGATACCTGAAAACCGCTATCATGTCCCCTCTCAATCATCTCTTTTCCAAACTAAATAAGCTCAGTTCTTTCAGTATTCCTTCATAGGTCATGTTGTCTAGACCTTTAATCATTCTTGTTGCTCTTCTCTGGAGCGACTTCAGTTTCTCCACATCTTTCTTGAAATGTGGTGCCCAGAACTGGACACACACAATACTCCAATTGAGGCCTAATCAGTGCAGAGTAGAGTGGAAGAATGACTTCTCCTGTCTTGCTCTCAACACACAAGTTAATGCATCCTAGAATCATGTTTTTTTGCAACAGCGTCACACTGTTGACTCATATTTAGCTTGTGCTCCACTATAACCCCTAAATCCCTTTCTGCCGTACTCCTTCCTAGACAGTTGCTTCCCATTCTGTATGTGTGAAACTGATTGTTCCTTCCTAAGTGGAGCACTTTGCATTTGTCCTTATTAAACTTCATCCTGAAGCAAACTTTGAAGCAAACTGAATTGTCATGGAGTAAGAGGAAATGTCTGGTTAAAAGACAAGAAGCAGACCTTTTTTTAGAAAGGAGAGAGGTAAATAGCAATGTCCCCCAGGAATCTGTACTGAGATCAAAGCTGTTCATGAATGATCAGGAAAAGGGGTAAATGGTTGATATGAAATTGCTCAAGATAGTTAAGTCCAAAGCAGACTGCAAAGAGTTACCAGGCAATCTCACAGCTTGAATATTGTCTGCTTTTCTGGTTGCCATATCTGAAAAAAGATACACAAGAAATGGAAAAATTATGGCAAAGAGTAAGAAAAATTATTAGGGGTATAGAACAGCTGCCATATGATAAAAAAGTGAAAAGATTGGGACTGTTCAGCTTGGAAAAGAGATAGCTAAAGGAGGGTCTGACAAAAGTTTATAAAATCATGAATGGTGTGGAGAAAGCAAATAAGGAAGTTTTATTTACCCCTTCACATAACACAAGAACTATGGGGTCACCTAATGAAATGAATTGGCAGCAGGTTTGAAATAAACAAAAGGAAAGTTCTTCTTGACATAACAGGAACTTGTTGCCGGGGATGTTTTGGAGGCCAAAATTATAAGTGAGTTCAAAAAAGAATTGGATAAATTCATGCAGGGTAGGCCCATCAATGGCTATTAGCCAAGATGGTCAGAGATGATACCCCATGCTCTGATTGTTCCTAAGCCTCTGACTACCAGATGCTGGGACAGGACAACAAGGGATGGATCGCTTAAGCCCTATTCTCTTCATTCCCTTTTAAGCATTTGACATTGGCCACTATTAAAAGACAGGATACTGGGCTAGATGGACCATCTGACCCAGTATAGCATTCTTATGTTCTGTACTTGTTTTGATATCTAACTGGGAGCAGAGCTCTTTTAAAAAAATCTTGCCTGAAGAGGGCAGACAAAAAGCAACTAACATTGAGAGTGTATAGTAAAACATGTGTCCCCATCTAATGCAAAAATAGTGAACTGGGTTACCTGCCAGTTTATTATGCATTCATATATCATAGAATCATAGGACTGGAAGGGACCTCGAGAGGTCATCGAGTCCAGCCCCCCGCCCTCAAGGCAGGACCAAGCTCTGGCTACACCATTCCTGACAGATGTCTATCTAACCTGTTCTTAAATATCTCCAGAGAGGGAGATTCCACCACCTCCCTTGGCAATTTATTCCAATATTTGACCACCCTGACAGTTAGGAATTTTTTCCTAATGTCCAATCTAAACCTCCCCTGCTGCACTTTAAGCCCATTACTCCTTGTCCTGTCCTCAGAAACCAAGAGAAACAAATTTTCTCCTTCCTCCTTGTGACACCCTTTTAGATATTTGAAAACCACTATCATGTCCCCCCTTAATCTTCGTTTTTCCAAACTAAACAAGCCCAGTTCACGAAGCCTGGCTTCATAGGTCATGTTCTCTAAACCTTTAATCATTCTTGTCACTCTTCTCTGTACCCTTTCCAATTTCTCCACATCTTTCTTGAAATGTGGCGCCCAGAACTGGACACAGTACTCCAGCTGAGGCCTAACTAGTGCAGAGTAGAGCGGCAGAATGACTTCACGAGTTTTGCTTACAACACACCTGTTAATACAACCTAGAATCATATTTGCTTTTTTGGCAACAGCATCACACTGTTGACTCATATTCAACTTGTGGTCCACTATGACCCCTAGATCCCTTTCCGCCATGCTCCTTCCTAGACAGTCGCTTCCCATCTTGTATGTATGGAACTGATTGTTCCTTCCTAAGTGGAGCACTCTGCATTTCTCCTTATTAAACCTCATCCTGTTTACCTCTGACCATTTCTCTAACTTGCTAAGGTCATTTTGAATTATGTCCCTATCCTCCAAAGAAGTTGCAACCCCACCCAGTTTGGTATCATCTGCAAACTTAATAAGAGTACTCTCTATCCCAATATCTACATCATTGATGAAGATATTGAACAGTACGGGTCCCAAAACAGACCCTTGAGGAACTCCACTTGTTATCCCTTTCCAGCAGGATTTAGAACCGTTAACAACAACTCTCTGACTACGGTTATCCAGCCAATTATGCACCCACCTTATCGTGGCCCTATCTAAGTTATATTTGCCTAGTTTATCAATAAGAATATCATGCGAGACCGTATCAAATGCCTTACTAAAGTCTAGGTATATGACATCCACCGCTTCTCCCTTATCCACAAGGCTCGTTATCCTATCAAAGAAAGCTATCAGATTAGTTTGGCATGACTTGTTCTTCACAAACCCATGCTGGCTATTCCCTATCACTTTATTACCTTCCAAGTGTTTGCATATGATTTCCTTAATTACCTGCTCCATTATCTTCCCTGGGACAGACGTTAAACTGACCGGTCTATAATTTCCTGGGTTGTTCTTATTCCCCTTTTTATAGATGGGCACAATATTTGCCCTTTTCCAGTCTTCTGGAATCTCCCCTGTCTGCCATGATTTTTCAAAGATCATAGCTAAAGGCTCAGATACCTCCTCTATCAGCTCCTTGAGTATCCTGGGATGCATTTCATCAGGACCTGGTGACTTGCTGACATCTAACTTTCCTAAGTGATTTTTAACTTGTTCTTTGTGTATCCTATCTTCTAAACTTACCCTCTCTCTGCTTGTATTCACTACGTTAGGCACACCTCCAGACTTCTCGGTGAAGACCGAAACAAAGAAGTCATTGAGCATCTCCGCCATTTCCAAGTTCCCTGTTACTGCTTCTCCCTCCTCACTAAGCAGTGGGCCTACCCTGTCCTTGGTCTTCCTCTTGCTTTTAATGTATTTATAAAAGGTCTTCTTGTTTCCCTTTATGCCTGTAGCTAGTTTGATCTCATTTTGTGCCTTTGCCTTTCTAATCTTGCCCCTGCATTCCCGTGTTGCTTGCCTATATTCATCCTTTGTTAGTTGTCCTAGTTTCCATTTTTTATATGACTCCTTTTTTATTTTGAGATCATGCAAGATCTCCTTGTTAAGCCAAGCTGGTCTTTTGCCATATTTTCTATCTTTCCTACACAGCGGAATTGTTTGCTTTTGGGCCCTTAACAACGTCCCTTTGAAATACTTCCAACTCTCCTCAGTTGTTTTTCCCTTCAGTCTTGCTTCCCATGGGACCTTACCTACAAGTTCTCTGAGCTTATCAAAATCTGCCTTCCTGAAATCCATAACCTCAATTGTGCTGGTCTCCCTTCTACCTTTCCTTAAGATCATGAACTCTATTATTTCATGATCACTGTCCCCTATACTGTCTTCCACTTTCAAGTTCTCAACTAGTTCCTCCCTATTTGTTAAAACCAAATCCAGAACAGCTTCTCCTCTGGTAGCTTTTTCAACCTTCTGAAACAGAAAGTTGTCTCCAATGCAGTCCAGAAACTTATTGGATAGCCTGTGCCTCGCTGTGTTAGTTTCCCAACATATGTCTGGATAGTTGAAGTCCCCCATCACCACCAAATCTTGGGCTTTGGATAGTTTTGTTAATTGTTTAAAAAAGGCCTCATCCACCTCTTCCACCTGGCTAGGTGGCCTGTAGTAGACTCCTAGCATGATATCACCCTCGTTTTTTACCCCTTTTAGCTTAACCCAGAGACTCTCTACACAGCTATCTCCTACGTTCATCTCCACTTCAGTCCAAGTGTGTACATTTTTAATATACAAGGCAACCCCTCCTCCCTTTTTTCCCTGTCTGTCCTTCCTGACAGAATGTGCTCAGCATGTTTGTCTTAGACCTGCCCACTCTTCCCTGTTGAAGAAACAAAAACATGAACAGGGAAGAACTGTTCATTCTTCTTTTAAAAGACTAGGGGGGCAGTGTCCCCTGCTCTCTCTGCTTCCAAACTCAGCCTGTGCCCTGACTCTCCTTTCTCCTTGCCATTATAGTCCGTAGTTCCCCCCATTTCCAACCCATCTCCCAGTCCCGCACATTCAGCACTTACCTGTGGGCTTTGCTCACCTGTCCCCGTCGAACCTAGTTTAAAGCCCTCCTCACAAGGTTAGCCAGTCTGTGTCCAAACAAGGCCTTCCCGCTCCTG